TTTCATTCCTTTTTAAATTTAGCAAAACAGGTTTTATGGCATAACATATGGTAATGTCCCGTGGTTGACTATAATCCCAGGAAGGCTTTTGGCTATCCTTGGTTTCTACATTAAATTTCTGCTTGCTTTGCCATTCTGCTTATATCAGAGCTTCCAGGCTTCCATAATTGTATTTATCAAGATTTCCATTTTCTCGATAATGCTCTTAGGCATGTGGTTCTCTACCTTCTGTTCTAAATAGCATCACTCCCCTCAGGTAGAGATACGGAGCTCTTTGACCTTATGGCATGCCTTTCCCCTGCAGTAGAACCCCTGTGCCACTGAACTTGGAGCTGGGGCTAGGGGCCTACTTTTCCCAGAGTGACACCCCTCTCTTTGAGTGGGTATTGGGTGGGAGGGGTGGTGGCAGCCCCCAGTCTTCTTGACTTACTCCTCCTGGCATGAAACTTCTATCTTAAGAGCAAACTAGGGTGGTAGCAATCAAGGCCCTGTATTCTTTGCCTGCTGGGCCTGGAGTAGAGTTTCTACCAAATGAATGGGGACTAGATGGAGGAAAGGAAACCTGGGCTCTGCGTTCCTGATCAGAATAGACCTCTGCACCTCCAGCTGAAAGGGCTGAGAAACACCAGCAGCCTGCTCCTCCCAGGATGAAACTAGGCCCTGACTGGAAGCTGCAAGGAAAAGGAGTCCCTGCCTTCTTGGCTGCACAGGCCAGAAGCAGAGCTTCTGAAACCCACAGCTGGTGGAATTGGGGTCATAGAACAGATCTTGACTCAAATGCCACACTCTGGCTTGTTCTGAGATTTAGTAGATTTTCTTGAATAAATGTTTCTCCATTTGTTATATGCCCTTAGGACAATTTCCAGAGACACATTTAAAATAATAATAATAATGTTCATCAGTTAAACTGCAGTTTTGCTGGAGAGATGGTCCACTGATCTCCTTACTCTGTCATTCCAAACATTCCATCCTGTTTTTAAGCTTTTAGTATCAAGTTTTAGATCTTCTCCTATAAGATATAAGGTTTTCATTACCAAATATGACTTCCTCAAGGTATTATGTTTATACTAACCAAATAAATCATATTTTGTATATTGTAATCTGTCTATCAGAAAGTTTTTAACCAGTCTGGAAGGTGGCAGTATGTTTTCTCCTATAGTCCTGGATTTTGACTTTAAATTCGTTTTCCACATAGCCTTTCCGGACCGCAGGCCGACGCTCTAACCGCTGAGCCAAACTGGCCAGGGCTCCACATAGCCTTTCAATTTGATGATCCAGACTGACTCTTCCCAAGCCCCATAAATACTGCCTTTAGAGTAGATAGCATTACACACAGGTTCCACCAACATACCTACTGCACTTGAAAATTTCCAAAATGCTTTTCACTTTGTACTAATTCTTTTTCTTCACATTCTGATGTACAGGAAGTATCATTATCTGCCCATTAAAAACTGGAAAATTAAGGCAGAGTATACATGGCATTGTGGCTGAACTAATTAATTCAGCTGACATTTATTAATTGCCTACTCCATGATGAACAACTTTTACACATTCCTTTTATTGCCTAGAAATGTGTTCTAACCTAGATCCGTTATTACTATGGTTATAGTATTTTAAAGTTATTAATTTAAACTTGACTTACTCTATGAACCTACTTTTGCAGAATAGCCATTTCTTTGTAGGGAAAATTTATTGTAGAAAACTGCAAGATTTAGCCTTTTGAACTGAGCATGGAAAGAAAGCCATACATCTGAAGCAAAGCAAGCAAATTAAGCTGTGACAACAGAGGGAAGAAGGAACGACTGTCCATGTATGAAGATGAGGCCGTGGGTGTTGACAGCTTAGGGAAGAACTCGCTCTCAGGAGGCCTTGGGTGTTTCTTTAATCTTCTTTATACTGCTAACTCTATGATTGTAGACAAAATAATTGTATTTCCTCTGCTTCGGGTTTTTTCTACCTTTAATTGAAGAACAGTGACTTTTCCTGCACATTTGGTTATGGAGGGAAACATTCGTGTAAATTTATAAAGACTTTTATCAACTTTGAAGTGCTTTAGGAATGCTCAGTACAGCACCTGTCTATAGCACTGCCCTCTTTGAAGCGGGGAAGATATGAGCCTTAGGTTCTGCCCAAGCCACTGATAACAGGGCATTCTGAAAGGACTTTGGTAAAACACTTTCACTTGCCTCCTGGCTTAAAGTGTGATCTTAGGGACGATGTGACTTGGCAAGGCATATATGTTACCTATATGGTACATACATGCAACAGGCTTTTGTTAAATTCCCCTTTCTATAGAGAAAAGTTAAACTCGTAAGCCAAATATTTGTCTTAACTATTACCTTCAAACTCATACTTCCAGATTTTTTCTGATTATTTTCAGAAGGAAAACTGAAGTTAGGTCACTCTTCCTTTCTTTCTCTCTCACAGAAAAATGGCCAAATGGTGTGAATGTCAATAGAAGGAAGAAGCAGAAGTTGTGAATAGTTAGCCTGTACAATTTACCCTAAATTTTAAATCATTGCCTTTATTATTTGGTTAAAATAGGTAAGGTAAATAGTGGGTCCTAAAACTGAAGCTCTTGATCCTAGGGTGTTCTGTTTTTCATTTCTTAGCAGCCAATCAACTTTAAAACATGAAGGAAAAATCCAGAAAATAATCATAAAGCATTCCTTAGAGAAAGATTCAAAACATGAATAAAAATAACAAGCCCCCCACCCCCGGCCAGTTTGGCATAACAGTTAGCACTGGCCTGAGGACCAAAGGGTCTCGGGTCTGAATCCCAGTCAAATACCTGGGTTGCAGGTTCGATGCTCAGCCCAGTTGGGGTCGTGTGGGAGGCAACCAATTGATGTGTCTCTCTCATACTGATGTTTCTCTCCCTCCTTCCCATTCTATCTAAAAAAAGTAATGAAATAATACCCTCAGGTGAGGATTAACAAAACAAACAAACAAATAAAAAATAACAAGCCCCTTTATTGGTCTCAGGTGCTGTATTTGGTACTTTACAGCATTGTCTCCTTCCTCTCTACCACCAACCCAATGAGGAAGAAGTCTTTAATCTCCATTTTGTGAAGAGGGAACTTATCCCAGGTTACACAGCTCCTGGAAACAGGATCAACATTTAAATAATGACATTAAAAACAAATATTTTCAAAATTACTCAAATAGTAAGTATTCTTTGTAAAAAATAAAATATGTAAGAAATAAAAAAATTTAGCCCTGGCTGGTTTGCTAAGTGGTTAGAGCATCAGCCTGAGGATCAAAGAGTTGCTGGTTCCATTCAGATCAAGGGCATGTACCTTGGTTGCGTTTGATCCTTGGCCCTGGTCAGGGTCGTGCAGGGGGCAGCCAATCGATGTGTCTCTCTCACATTGATATTTCTCTCTTTCTCTCCCCCCCCATTCCTCCCTCCCACTCTATCTGAAAATCAATGGAAAAATATCCTCGGGTGAGGATTTTAAAAAAAGAAAATTTAGATCATCTATAACCAGCCCTGGCTTGTGTGGTTAGAGTGTCAGCCCATAGATCAAAGGGTATCAAGTTTGATTCCCAGTCAAGGGCACATACCTGGTTTGCAGGTTTGATCCTTGGCCCTGGTCAGGGCATGTGTGGGAGGCAGCCAATCTATGTGCCTCTCTCACATAGATGTTTCTCTCCCCCTCCCTCCCTTCCATTCTCTCTAAAAAAAACCAATGGAAGAATATCCTGGAGTGAGGATTAACATCAACAACAACAAAAATCACTTAAAACCATATATGTTTGTTTGTGTATGTACAGTCACACACATGGGGAGAGAGGGAGAGAGAGATCTGAAAGATAAATAGTTGATAACATTGGTTAACCCTGGAGAAGGAAGGTGGTACCAGGAATGGACGTATGAAAGTGATGGTCAAAAAAGTCTTTAGCATGATTTTGTAGAGCGTGTTTTCATATATTAGTTGTTTAAATCTAAACTGGTAATGTTTAAAATACTTTAAAAATGAGGACGAAAGCAACATTCCAGATAAAGCTTTATCTTCTTTGGCTAACTTCTTTGCCCCTTTTCTGGTTACTTCCTTTTTGTCACAATCTCCACCCATGAATGTTTAAAACTCATGTAATGTGTACATGAGCTAGTTGATATAGTTAAGATTATAAAATCATTAATGACGTATAAGACAGTATACCGTGCTGGTTAAGTGCACAGACCCTGGGTCCAGAGTGCCTGGGTTTGCATCCTGACTCCCTCATTGGATGGCCCTCTCTGTGCCTCAGTTTTCTTATTTATAAATTTGGGATAACAGTACCTATCTTAAAGGCTTATTGTGAGGCCTAAATGAGTTATTATCTGTACAGTACTTAGAACAGTGCTTGGTACATAGTAAGAGCCATATAAGGGTTATTGTTATCCTAATAACAGTCAGAAAAAAACTAAAATGAATATTTGTATATCCAGCCAGACTTTGTATGTATGTATGTATGTGTACATATACATACATGTAAATATACATACATATGCATTCATGTGAGTAAATATAGATTTTTAAAATTAAAATTGGATTATACTATTTCTATTTATTGTAACCTTCTTTATATCAGACACTATATATTACATAAGTCTTTCCATGCCATTAAATGAAATAATAAATGTTTATATAAAAAATCAGATGTATTTGCTCTTAATTACTTGTGATAGCCTGGAATGTTATGACTAAATACATGAGTAAACATTTGATGAGACAAATTTTTTGGCACTAAACTGAGAGTCTAGAGTGCTTAGAGATTTTGATACAGTTTACTTAAATGATTGAATGGGCATTGACATATCCTACCTAAGTGATATTCAACGTTTTAAAATGTTCATCTTCAGAACTAATATAAACATAGAACGGTACTTTTAAAGTGTCACTGTGGGAAAGATACTTGGAATGTAGTTCACTGTAAGAAGAAGAATGACCTGTAAAAAGTACATTGGTTATTAGAAAAAATATTTCTCGCTCTACCTCTTTCTGCCTTTTCAGGAGATGTTTCACAAAGCAGAAGAACTCCTGTCCCAAACAGCAGGCGGTGAGATGGATGAGATGGACACGTCAGATACCCAGTGGGGCTGGTTCTACCTGGCAGAATGCGGAAAGTGGCACATGTTCCAGGTACCTCCTTCCCTGCAATGTAGCGGAAGGCATTAGTTCACTTAGCATCCTCTTGCTGATGGATCAAATGAGTCTGAGCGAGCCTGAAAGGAATCAAACCCTAAGGAAATCAGGTAGCCTAACTAAAAGAAAAAGTGGAAATTCTTCTAGTTTTTTCCTTTCCTTTTCCCCAGGTTTTCACAGTAATTTGTTTAGAAGGAGCAGTGTGTGTTTACTGTGTGTACAGAAGGCGAGGGTAACCTTCTGCAGGAGAGTTGCATGGTCTCAGTACCTCTGAACAACTCCAAGTTTGATTTGGTGGACAAAGATGAAGGGAAGAGAATAGCCCATATGAAACACCTTCTGTTCACCAGGTGTCACGTTAGGTGTTGTACATGTTTTCTCCTTGACCCTCATGACAACTCTGAAGCAGATCTTAACACGCGGCCTGACAGCCAAAGCGAAGCTCTGGAAGTTAATGTAATCTGTCCAGAGTCACACAGCTAGTCGGTGGTTAAGTTAATGGTTAAAGCTTGTGGTCTTTTTTTACTTTCAAAGCCACTTAAAGAAGATTTCATTTTTGAGCCACATAGGAAGTATAATTATTGTCATCATTTGTGAAAATAGTAATACTTTTGGAAAAGGCATTATAACCAGTTGTTGACGTGTCTTTGTTGGAAATCCTTAAACTGTTTTTACCATGCTGGCATAGCTGTGATTTTCCCAGTGTATAGGCGACTAGGACAGGTGATCAGTTAAGTTTCTCTTGTTTCACCATCCTCTGTCTCTGTGACCACAGTACCACCTGTGTGGCCAAGCCATTGATGTGAACAGCTGTTAAATGAAACTTTCTGGTTTGTCTTAAAGCCGGATACCAACATTCAGTGTTCAGTTAGCAGTGAAGATATCGACAAAAGCTTCAAAACAAACCCTTGTGGCTCCATTTCTTTTACTACTTCCAAATTCAGCTACAAGATAGACTTTGCAGGTATGTGATTTTCCCCCTAATAGTTGTGTGTTTTTAGTATACTGATATGGTAAAATCTATAGTTCTGAGGACCAGGATAGTTGATACATTTGTAAACAGTGAAGTAAGTCCTTTTTGTAATCCATACAAATACCTCTATAAAAATTCAAGATTTAAAACCTTCTTGAGCAACACTGTCTTTTATAAAGGAGTATTTATATGCTTCTAGATATTAATGTGTATGGAGATCGTCATATGTTCATGTATTGCTTCTCTTCTAAGGAACACAAACATTTTAAGTTATTGTTTCATTCATCATCCCATCAGTCTTTTGAAATAGATAGGAACCTTTTTATTTTAAGGATCAATCTGAGAGGTTAAGTGACAAAGCTGGTGATAGTTTTAAGACTGAAGCTCAGATGAATGACCCATCTCTTGGTGTCTTTGCCAGAAAACTATTTCTTTAGTTTTGCCTTCTCCCTTTTCTGATTTCATTGTCGCTTTCATAGATTAGCCAGCTAATTGGGAAGTCAGCTGCACTTTGGATTTCAGTCATGATCCATGGGCATGCTTTTGGTTATGCCATGAAAATCCTGGTGGATTCAGCCCCTTCACTTTCAAGCTGCTATCGTCCCAGCTGTTTGCTGCTTAGAGGCAGACAAGACTTGGTTGGGGAAGCTTTCTTAATAAAAGTGCATTTTGGCCCTGGCCGGTTTGGCTCAGCGGTTAGAGCGTCGGCTTGCGGTCCAGAGAGACCCGGGTTCAGTTCCCGCTAAGGGCATGTACCTCGGTTGCAGTTTGTTCCCAGCCCTGGTTGGGTCGTGCAGGTGGCAGCCACTCGATGTGTCCCTTTCACGTCGATGTTTCTCTCTCTCTTCCTCTCTCTCCCGCTCTGTCTAAAAACAAAAAATGGGAAAATTTCCTCAGGGGAGGATAAAAAAATAAATAAATAAAATAAAAGTGCATTTTGGTTGCTGCATAGCTCAATTCTCTAACTGTTCTTCCCAGTTTCTGTGATTAGTGTCTTTATGACAGTTAGTAGTGTGTTGTTATAGGGTAGCATGTTGAAACCTTAGGACATTTCCTTGGATGAGCCAAGGCCCAGAAATGGTGAAGGGGATTTGTCCAGTAAGAGGTTGATGCAACCAAATCTCTAATGATGATTATTGCCCCCAAGTTTTATTATTATTATTCTCATCAAGAGTTCAAACCATTAGGTTCTTACTCCTGACTCACCGTAACATTTTTTTGTGTGACATTAGATAAATGGGCTGCCTGCCTTTAAGGGGTCCTGGACATTTGTCTTTCTCCTGTAGTCTAGACAGAAGGTGTCTGGTAGGCATTTTAGTCTTGTGCACCAGGGCCAGTTTTGAAGCAGTACTGAGACATAATGATATGCACAGACACAGGTAGAGGATGAAGTTTGTCAAAGCATGTGGTAGATAGTTCAGCAAGCTACATGTTTCTGAAAGAATATTTTCTAATAAACTGTATTTTTGGGAAGCTTTCTCTCTGACAGTGAAGTTTATTAAAACTTTTTTAAAAATCAAGTAGGAGTCACATGTAATAACTCAAGTTCCCCAACCCTCTATATAACGATACTGTTTTAAAAGTATAGGTGTTCGCACTTCATATGTACCATTTGCAAAATGAGCCCCAACTGTTCTGCCACAGCCAACTCAGGTTCTCTCTATAAAAGTGGTGAAAAGTGACTCAGAAGGGGGTAATGGGGTGGCATAAGAAGAAGACACCACAGGCTTTGCCATGTGTGCTGAGACCTTGCTTTTCCCTGCACAGTGTTAGCACCAGTGTGTACAGAGTCTAGGAGAGTACAGAAAGGGCACGGCATACTTTATACAGCATTTGCCTGTTGGATGAATCCCTCTATTTGGAAATGGAATAATGCCAATTAGATAAGATAAACTGACTAGAATCTCACATTAAGACTTAGTATTCATCTCTGTGGGAATGAAGAAATGGACCTGGTCAATACTGCCACCGCCAAGGCATAGACAAAAGAAGGAAATGATGCTTTTAGTTAATTAGGCCTTTATCACTAGAATCTCTTATGTAAGTATGTGTTGAGTCTAGCTAGGTTTTGTATGTTTTGGTTTCAGTATACAATTTAAAGAGAAGAACACAAATGTACACATTTTTGAAATTTTGTGAATTGTGCATGTTTTAAAATGTTAATGTATTTTTTTAATCATTTCCAAAATTTGTGGAGAAATCAGCGTGTATTTTCCACTTAATAAGCCAAGTAGAAGATTCAGTACTATAATTTCTTTCTCTTTCTAGTACTCTTACTTTTCCTGAGTTTAGAAGTCTTCCAGTTTATATTTTTATTGATTTCTATTTTAGAAAGAGGAAGGGAGACAGAGGAAGGGTGAGAGAGGAAAGGAGAGAGAAATAGAAACATCCACGTGAAAGAGAAGCATCATTGGTTGCGTACTGCACGCCCCCTACTGGGGATGGAGCCCACAACCCGAGCATGTGCCCTAATTGGGAACCTCTCAGTCCATGGGACCACGCTCAATCCACTGAGCCACACTGGCTGGGCTAGAACTCTTCTAGTTTAATGTCACTTTAGCCTAAGTATTGTACAGAAAGGAATAGACCCTGCATATGGAGCAGCATATGAGACCAGCCTTCATTTGTGTGAGGGCAGATCAAGCAATGAAGCTGTCCTCCGTGAACAGCCCGTTTATGACGTGCTACATAGACAGATAGTAAAGCATCTGTAATGCACTGTCAGCTACTCCCAAAGCTCTGTGCTTCGTGCAGTGTGGCTGTAAATCTTCATGACAGTTTATAGCACAGTATGTTTCTGTAACTTATATAACGTCTTTGTCTTTGTGTACAGAAATGAAGCAAGTGAATCTTACCACTGGGAAACGGCGCTTAATAAAAAGAGCCCCCTTTTCTATCAGTGCTTTCAGGTACTGTAAAGAGAATAGGGGGGCACAGAGTGGGCTCTCCCTCTCTCTTCTCTTTCTTAACATTTGACAGAGGAACAATTAGACCAAACATATTTTGGTAGGTTACTTAATGATCTTAATATTGATCCTTTCATTACTGAATTTCACCTTAGTTGATGAAATAGCAATATTATTATTTTCTTCCCATGTTTCCTTTCCTGTTATCTTTTTAATTTCCCTTTATATGTTTATATTTTTTAATTCTTTAGAACAGTTTGAATGGTAATTAAAAATGCCTTATGGTCTCTGCTGTATATCCTAAAATAACCTACTGAGGTTAGCTTGAATTAACTTGGGAATACTCTCACAGAACCATTCAGTTATTTGGGCCATAAATCCTAGGTAATTACCACTCTTCTCCACTGGGCAATCCTAGAAGTCACTTCAGATCTGTAGTGACTAAGGAGACATAAGGAAGATGGGAGCACAGTGGGACACCGCACTGCCCTGTTCCCTGTGGCGAGTTTTCTTTTCTCTGACTGGATCTCTGCAGCCTGAAAAGAGGTATAAATGCCAGAGGAGAATACATATTTTGTATTACTGTGAATGGAATTGAAGGGGAAACTCTTACAGCATGTCCTCTGTTTTCTGGAACGATTTCTCCAGCAAGTATTAGATTTTTGCTGGTCAAAGAATTTAAAATGAAACAGGAAAAAAAAAAGCTAGGACGTGAATTTTAAGGGTTACCCATTTGCTCCTTCCAAGGAGATATTTTGAAAGGATTAAAGGATGAAAAAATTTTACGTTTCCATTGGTTTATTTCATGAGACTTTTGGCCTATATTTTAGCATCATGATTTAAAAATTATTTAAGTACTTATATAATGAATGTTCTAGTACTTCTATGGAATGTAGAGAATATTATTTCCTTACCAGCTATATCATATCCTCATTCTTAAGTACAAGGAAAATAGTACAGGAATTGCTTATCTTTCAAGAGTATGTAATCTGGAAGAAAAATGAGACATAATAATAGAAAATGTTATTATAATTGCATGTTATGATATCGGGTATGTTTTGGTGGGGAGAAGAAGCACATGAGGGGGTCCAACACGTTGTTCTCTCGCAGACTATACAACCCGTAGAACAAAGGAGAGGGAGAGAATTAACCAGGTTGGAGGATGATGAGATAGTGAAAGAGGAAGAAAGTTAGGTGGAATACAGAGGAGTGATGAGGTTGTATGCGCTGTTACAGAAATGTTTGCTTATTGCAGGGATGTAATACTTGCGATGTAAATAGTATATAGTTGGCAATGTGGTCAGGAATTAACAGTTAACTAAGGCTGTGGGCCATAAACATTTTTAAAAACAACACAAAAAACCTTTTTCATAGCTATAAGGTACTTCAAGCAACATTTTTTTAAAAAACGGGTAAACTGTTGTTACTCATGATCATAGTCAAAGGGCTCGTTTCTTAGTATATGAAGTACATGTGTGAATCTCTGAGTAAAAGACCAACAACCCATTAGAAAAATGAGCCAAGAATTTGAACACTTCAAACAACCTCACTCATAATAAGAGAAATACAAATTATATCAGACTAGTTTTTTACTATCAGATTGACAAAAATGCAAAAGTTTGATAACACACCTTCCTGATGAGATTGGAAAGTAGACATTCTCTATATTTCTGGTGGGAATGTCAATGAGTACAACCTTCAAGGAAGGCTTTGGTTGGTGTCTGTCAATATCATGAATAAATACATGCTTTGATTGAGAAATTCCATTTCAAAGATGTCATCCTACAAATTGACTACTGGAAATATACAATGACAAATGGACAAACTAGTTCTTTGCAGCATTCTTGACAGTAGCAAAAAATGGAAAAAACTGAATATCTTCAATAGGGGATTTATTAAATAAATTATGGTTTCTCCATACCATGGAATTCTGTGCATCTGTAGAATAGAATGCCCTCATTCATTCAACAAGCATTTATGGAGTGTCTACCACATGCCAGAGTCTATGGTAGGGACTGGGAACGAGGGTACTATCTATCTACTGATGTGAAAAGATGTCTAAGAACGTAGTGAGTGAAAAATAAAAGTTGCAAAAAACGTATGTTTTATGCTACCATTTGTGTGGGGGGACAGTTGGCTTGTGTTAACCTAAAGAAGTTCTGGAATAATACAAAAGAGACTGAAACAATATTACTTGGAGTTGAGACCAGAGGTAAGAATTGGACAGACCAAGGACTGGAGTGGGAGGGAAATTACTCACTGTTTACTTTTTTTATACTCACTAATTTTTAAATCATATGATTGTATGACATTTTCAAAGTTAAAATGGGTTTTTAAAAATTAAGCTAAAGATAGGCTTAAAATTTAGAAGTTCTTCCAGCAACCTCCAGGCACCAGAGAGGATTACTATGACAGTGTCAGCCTTTGCCATTGAGATCCCCAAGGTCACTCTCTTTTTCTGTGTTCACATCCAGTGGCTTAAACATGGTAGCTCGTTCTTAAAAAGTTTTACTGACTGACTATACCAAATGAGTTCATGTGAACTGTGTAGAGGAATAGTGGACAGTAGACAGAAAGGTTTAGGTTTCAGTTAGAGCTTGAAGAACACTGAATGTATGGCTGAGAGGTTTGGATTTTATGTAATAGGTAGAATAAATCTGTTAAAGAGTTTTTTTTAAGCCAAGAGTTTTATGTTCTTCTTGGAAATTTCTTCTCTTTACCTAAAATCTTCCTTACATTTTAAAAAATTCTGGGGAAAAAAAAAAAAGACAATTAAATAACTGTTTTTGAAATGTGGCTATTATGTAGGGTTGGATGTTTTCCATCAAAGTTTTCAATTGAGCACCAAAAAAGTAGTCCACAAGTAGACATTCAATAAATGTTTTAAGGGACAGAAACCAAGGATTGCATTTGTCGCAGTACCCCAAACAAGAAACTTCAGCTTTGAAGAAATATGTAAATCACAGCAATTATAATCAGATTTTAATATTTTGTTTTGTCTTTTGCTGTTTAAAGTTATATCTGTGAAAATGAGTCCATCCCCATGCCGCCGCACTGGGAGAATGTGAATACTGACGTGCCCTACCAGGTAAGAGCAGGGCTGGCTGGCTGCACTGTTAGAGACGGAAAAGACTCCAATAAAACTGTCGACCTTCATCTTCCAGCTTGTTCCTCTGCACAATCTGACGCATGAATACAATGAAGTTGCTAGTCTCTTTGGGAGAACAATGGATCGCAACCGAATTAAAAAAATTCAGAGAATTCAAAACCTAGACTTGTGGGAGTTCTTTTGCAGGTGAGACAGTTTCTAATCTGAACCCTCTCCTTGGCCTCTAAGACTTGGAGTCTTAGAGATGATAGTGAAGCACTAATGCTTAACTGTGTGAATTTTCACTGCTGCTGTGTTTTCTTCTTGCTCTGTTTTGACCTGGTCCCTTAGCTCTCTTCTTCCGCCTTCTCCGGGAGGAAGCGCGCTGCTCTGCAGGTAAAGGCAGGCATTGCTTACAACACTGTAGTGCAGTGCGAGAGGTCAGAGTCTCAGCTCACTCCTGGACACTCAGCTCCTGCCAAGGTTTGGAGCTGAGCATCTTGGCTTAATCAGCATGAAGGAATCTGGAAAGCTGTTTGGTTTGGTTGATATGACTTTGTTGGTTCAGACTTTTCTGTTGAACTACAACTGTCTGAAACATTGTTGAATTTGTTTTTAAACAATTACACTATCTTGTCTGTAGTCATTTGCTTGTTTAGTTTTGAAAAACCATTATAAAACATACCTGAAAATTTCCTGTTCAGCCCCAAGTTTATGTTGTAGATTTAAAATCTCAATTTATTACTCAACTTAGGTTGGAAGTGAGCCATTGGATTGCTCAATGTGCACTTAACCTGAAAGTAAAGCCTATTACAAAAACGTAAAGGTATTGTCCAAATTAATCTGTTGTGCTGCACTTTTTTTTTAAAAAAACAAATGTATACTAACAGAAAATACATCAATGGTTGTGAGGATAGAGGGCCAATGGGTAGAGGCAGGATGGAGGGATTACCTGTAGGAATAAGGAACTAGGGGAGGTGATAGATATGTTCATTATTTTTACTATGATAATTTAGAACAGATGAATAGCTGTTAATTGTAAATATATGCAGTTTATTATATGTAATTATATCTCAAATTGTGCTGAGGAATATGATTTTTTTATAATAAGTAGTACCTAAGATATGTGGTTTTCTGAAACATTTTTATTAAATTTGCATATGAGATTTGGTTTCTAATATTTTTTAATATAAGCAGACCTTTAATACCTATTCAGGAAAATTTCAAATAATAGAGTTTAATATAACAAACCCCTAGGTAGCTATCATATTGATTTTTTATCAAGATATACCACATATTATCTATCTCCTTTTTCTCTGTTATTGTTGTTGCTGAAATGTTTTAAATCAAATCCCAGACCTTAACTCATATCATTTTCATATACTTGAAAATCAGGCTGACTTTATTTTGATGATGGAATTCTTTCATGCTCTGGTGAGTTAGTTAATATGGCCTGGTAAATTTTAGATTTTATTCTCATAAGAGTTTATATGATAAAATAAGGGTTTCAGCTTGTATTCTTTATAGTCTTGAGTCTTTGGACCAAGCCAACTTTTATTTCTGATAATACGGAGTTTAGAAGGTTGTATTCAGTTCTTTTCTTTTTTTTCTTTACTGAGTTTAGAGATAGAGGAAGAGAGTGGGAGAGAGAGATAGAAACATTGATGAGAGAGAACATTGATTGGCGGCCTCCTGCATGTCCCCTCCCCCACTCACACACACTGGGGATCGGGCCCACAACCTGGGCATGTGCCCTGACCAGGAATTGAACCGGTGACCTCTTGGTGCATGGGTCAACGCCCAACCACTGAGCCACACCAGCCGGGCTGCATTCAGTTCTTGTTTAGGTAATTTGTTTTAGAGGAACATGGAAGCTCCTCCCCCTTTTAATTTATTCTCTCAGTGAATAAATTTCTTCTCAGATGGTCTGATGAAATCTTAATCTATTATTTTTAATCTGGCTTCTGAAATGGAGTTCATATTAGTTTCTCTCATAATTTGAGTCCTCAGTTAAATTCTAGTGGCAAAATGTACAGTGACTCCCCAAACATTTTAATGGAGATTTCACTGAAATCAGTTTTACTGTCAGTGTCCTTCATGATTTTAGGTAATGTTGGTGTCTAGAAATCTATGATGGCAAATGAACCTGCCAACTGCTGAGACGGTAGAAAATACTAAGTCTCATTATGAGGCCAGCCTGTCATTTTGCCATCTCCCTGGAGAACTAAGATAACTGAGTCAATCTCATTGTCTGTATCCTATGACTCACCACGTGAGTCCATCAGGCGTCAGTCTGTATGTTGTCCAGGCCTTTCTTACTTCCTCCCTTCTAAAAATATGTTTTAGCTCCTACTTTGTGACAGGCTTTATTCTAGGCACTTGGAGTATAATAGGGCACAGGACCGTAGCTCAAACAAGGAGCCAGGCCATTGAACCACAAAATGTCGCAGGGAGCCCAGGGCATCATGGAGCACAAAGTGAGGTGTCTACTCACCCTTGCTGACAAAAGTAGGGAATGTGTTGTATGTGGGGGTGGGGTGGGGGTGGGGGAGGGGATCAAGAAGCGCTTCCTAAAGCAGGGAGCATTTAAGCTAGACATAGGTGGGAGAAGGGAAGGGCATCCCAGGTTTCGAGAGCAGCATGGGCCAAAGTTGATTGCAAGAGGGAACATAGAACATTGAGAGAATTTCAGATAGAACAGAAAATAAGATGAATGGTTGGAGAAGAGCCCAGAAAGGTATTCCAGAGGTAGAGCATGCAGGAGCCACTGCGTGGTTGTGTGGTTTTCTTTGGTAGCCTTATTGGAGTTGGACTGATCTACAGTTGAAGGAGAGAGTTAGCAGGAGCCAGGCCATGCAGGGCCTTACAAGCCAAACTAAGGGATCTGGAATTTTTTCCTGGGACAGTGGAAAGCCATTGTAGGACTTTAAGCAAGAGAGTGATGGATCTGATTTGCATTTTAGAAATATAATTCATAAGGCTATACTGTGGAGAAGGAGTTTAAAGCAGTTGTTCGTTCTCAGGGAGTGATTTTGCTCACCAGGGGATATTTGGCAATGACTCGGTATGTTTGTTTGTCATGCAGTGGGATGGGGAGACCCTCTGACATCTGCTCAGCAAAAGCCAGGGACACTGAATATTCTACAGTGCACAAGACAGCCTCCCACAACGAAGAAATATCCAGCCCAAAATGTCAGTAGTGCTGAGCCTTAGAAATTCTGGTTTAAGTGGGTCACAGTTACAAGCAGGGAGGCCATTTTAGGAAATTGTTTCAGTAATGAAACTGAGACACATCAAATGGTTTGAACCAAAGTGGACCAAAGGAGCAAAGTGGACAGTTTTGAAATATTAAGGATGTAAAATAATATTGCTTGGTTCTTAATTTAATGTGTGCAATGGAGTGGGTAAGGGAGATGGGAAAGATAACCTTGAAGTTTCTGACTTATAATTGACTAAGGAAAAATGGGTCTGGGGAGGATGGGAGGGAGTAGTAGTTGATACATGGATTGGGATCTTTGGCAGAGCAGTGTAGATTAGAGATAAATGTTTCGGAGTTGTTAAAAAACATGGGTAATAGAAGCCATAGGAATTGATAAGATACCAGGGGTTTTATATAGATAAAGAAAGGAAGAGAGCCAAGGACTGAACTCTAGAAGGCGTAGACAGAGGAAGAGAAAACCCAAGGAAGAAACTGAGAAGTAGCAACCAGAAAAGGTAGAAGAAAATCAATGGACTGTGATCACAGAATCCAAAGAAAGAAAGTGGTTTACCTAGGTAGATGTCATTCTTGGTCACATACTTGAAGAGTTGCCAGGTAAGATAAATGTTGACAATATCCTTTGGAGTCTACAACAAAAGGTCATTGGTACCCTTGATGAGAGCAGTATTGGTAAATGCTATACAGAGTGGGGCAGAAGTAGGTTTACAGTATAAAAATAATACAATAATGAATAAATAATACAAGAGTAAATTCTGTTTTACATACTCATAACTGTACACCTACTTTTGCCCCCCCCCCCCCCCCCCGCCCCTTGTATTGTATTTGTAACAAATGTTGACGACTCTTTCAGGAAGCTTGGCAGTGAGGAGAATGAGAGATCTGAGAAGATGAGTAATGTAGAGTTGGGAAGGGTGTTTTTGTTTTGTTTTATGTTTTTTGAATTAAAACTAGGGAGAGACTTGAGCATGTTTACATTATAGTAGGAAAGAATCTATGGAGAGGGCAAGTTTAAAAGACAGGAGAGGGGAATTAAGGCTCCTGAAGAGGTGTGGTGGGATGGGATTCAGAGAACACATGTCAGGAGGTAGACAGGGGTGGACCAGTTACGTTATAAGTAGGTAGAAGTGGGAGATGAGGGCAGGAATTAGGGTGGGAGCTCCATCCTGACACTCAGTTTCCTTGGTGAAATAAGAAGTGAGGTCACCTGCAGAGAATGGGGTGTTAAAGAGGTGTGGGTAAGGGAGAGGGAGGGGACAAGGGGAGAGTTGAAATGGCCGCTGTGGAAAATGGAGGAGAAAGAACAGCTTGGGAACTGTAGGATTTCCATCCGTGCTGAGGGCTTAGCTAAAGTGGAAATCATGGGGATGTTGTTTGACTTATTTCAGCCATTCCAATTTAAGAGCAGGTTGATGCAGGGTGGGGAAGGAGAAGGCAACAAGGAAGAGAGAACAGTGACAATTGCTGTCTCATTAAGAAGGTGGAAGAAGGGGATTTAAACCAGATTCTCAGCCCTGGCTGCATGCAGAATCACCTGTGGAGCGCCCTAGCAAGTACAGATATCTGCCCCACCCCGACCCACTAAACCAGAACCTCAGCGTCTGACATTGTCTTTTAAAAGTTCTGCAAGTGATTCTGATGTCCAGGCAGGATGGAGAACCTCTGGTCTAACCCCAGGCAAACATTTCAACCCAGAGCATGAAGATATTCCTGCTGCAGCTCAGAGTTTGTGGCATGTCCACGTTATCCCTTTTGGTACTCTAGTCCCTGGGAGGTTGGGTGATGCTAAGAGATCTTTGGGAGGTGGGTGCTACCATATTTTCAGTAAGTTCAGAAATGAACGTGGGGTAGGGCAAAGGTGGGCAGGATTGTGAAGAACTTAGTGTAGTTTGAATCCTATGACTTTTCCCAAAAGTTTAACTGAAGGCCAGGAGTTCCTAGAACTCAACATTAGCCTTTCTGGAACACCAAGGTCACAGTCTGAGGGTCTCCACATTTCACAGGTGCCTTAGCAGCGAGCACTAGGATAATCCCTGCTGTGGGGGTGCAGAGCTTGGACCACCCCATTCCATTCTGCCTTCAACTGGTATAATACACTATATTCAGTCCAGTGACTGAGCAGATTTTACTGCCCACACACCTGGCTCTTTGACTAACCAACACTTCATTTATATAATATCTAAGAGAGACTGGAGTGATTTCAACCCAGACTTCATTATAATCTGTGCCAGAAAAGTAGTGATGAGTGAATATCCCAATTTTAGAGTGGATTCTAGTCATTGTAGACCATGAAGCTTGACATTAGAAGAATGCATATGAATCAATGTTTACTTAGAAAACAACTGTGTAGATTTACTAATGCCCAAGTAAGAGGATTAACACAGTAGTAGATGGGTAAGCTCCTCAGTGTAACTTGGTCTCCACAAAGTAGTCAAAAAGGTTCTTAGGGTAGAGACAAGATAGAAAAATGTGTGCCAGGTGAATAAATATAAAGAGGAAAATTGATATCTGGTTAAAAGTTTTGTGCAGAATAAGTTGAACAGCATGAATTCTTCCTGAGCCCTTCCACATCTTTATCAGGAATTTGGATGAAGATGTGCAAGGGTTGCTTATCACACTTTGAAACATTCAAAACCAGAGTGTGTAGCTTGTCCGCCGTGTGAATGGATGAACCGGGAGTCAGACCTTGGGAGATTGAAACAGTGAGTCAAAACAATACGATTATCTTTTTTTAAAAGATTTTTTTTTTTCCCCTCAGAAAAACAAATACCCGTTGTTAATAAAGTAAGGACTTAAAGTTTTAAAAAAGAAAATAGACATAATTTGTTCATCGTGAAAACATGCTGGCTTTTTCTGAAGTAAATATTTGTTTAATGTCATGCTTAACAGTTTGAAAAGGCAATCACCAATAGATCAAAGCATACACATTTAAATTTTGATACATATTGCCAAATGACTCTTGCGAAAGACCATATACATTTTTAATTCTTTCATCATTTAAATGCAAGTATCCACCCCACCCCCCGCATAGTCACTAAACGGCATGATTTTTTAAATAAATTCTGTACTTTCAAAATTGATATATCAGGATAAAGTTTCATTGAAATAAATACTGCATTAGGTTTGTAAATCAGCTGTACAAATATAGCAAGCTGAGAGAAGTCTAGTTTGAGAAAGTCCTGGGAGTTTTAATTGGCTCAAACTTACGTGAGTCAGCAGTATGGCGCTCCTGCTACAAACCGCATCCAGTGGTGTGCTGGTGGGGTCACTGCGGTCTGGTGATATCTGGGCTCTGCTTCTATTTCCTACCAACACTGTAAGCAAGAAGGGATCCAGCACATTCTCATCAAGTAAGGGCTGTCCAGGATGGAGAAAGAAAGGCCTGGAAGCTATGCTGTGTGAGGAATAGTTGATGGAATGGTGTATATTTAATCTAGAAAAGAAAGCCAAGGTCAGTGTTCAGAGTTATTTTTGAATATTTTTGGAGTAGTGTTCTATAAGCACATTTGAATTGTTCTGTGTTCAGAAGAGAAGAACTGAGACCAATCAATAGAAGTGATAGGAAGGCTGATTCGGGGTCAGTATTCGGGTGGATACACTTTGTAACCAGTGCAGCTGACCACAAGTAGATTGCTCTGTCCTGCAGAGCGGAGAGCACCTGCCGCTGACCCGACCGAAGCAGGCGCTCAATAGCTGTTAGCGATATAGGGGATGCTTTTTCATTTTTAAAACATCGTTTTTATGAAATATTTTAAAAAATGAAAATGTACCAAATAGTTTACAGACACCCATGTACGTACCAATCAGATTTAACATTTCAATATTTGTCACATTTTCTTCTTTTTTGAATCAGTTTTTTTAATTTCTTTTGTTTTTGCTTTTAAGATACAAAGCATTACAGATGTAGGTGAAATGTTTACCCCATCCTCAACCCTATCCCGTTTTCCTGCTTTCCCTCCTGAGGTTGGTGTGATGCCTTCTTGTCCATGTTTTTGTACATTTTTACTACCTATATATGTGTCCTTATACAATGTACAGTATCATTCTGAGCTATGCCTCTTTTTGCAATGTTCTTTTTACATTCAACATTATTTTTCAAGCGTTATCTATGTTAACACATGTAAATCTAGCTCCATTACTTTGAACTTTCATGTATAAATATATAATTATTTATTCATTTTTCTATGAAAGGATTTTAAGCTGTTTTCAGTTTGTTTGTTTTTTACTGTTACAATCAGTCCTAATTGTTAAAAGAGATTTGTCCAGTAGGAAGAGGTTGAACTGGATGTAATGTCCTTCTAGCCCTAAGATTCAAAATTCAGTTCAATTCAACCAACATTTTCTAATCTCTGGGGATGAAAAGATTAAGCATGGTCCCCACTCAAGGAATTCACAGTTTAATGACTGTGAACTTTGTATTATTTAATGGCCTATGGCAGCAGTTCTCAACCTGTGGATCGCGACCCCTGTGGGGGTCGAATGACCCTTTCGCGGGTCGCCTAAGACCATCGGAAAACACATATTTCTGATGGTGATTCATAACAGTAGCAAAATTACAGTTATGAAGTAGCAACAAAAATAATTTTATGGTTGGGGGCACCACAACATGAGGAACCATATTAAAGGGTCGTGGCATTAGGAAGGTTGAGAACCACTGGTCTATAGTGTCATTTTTAGGCGTCTATAAAACTTGGCTGGTTTAGGTAATAACCTTTACTATAATGGAGCATCATCTGGCATATCTATAGTTTTGGGTGTAATCTTCAACCTTAAGTCTCAGTGTTAACTAATAATTTTTTATGAGATGATTTATGTGTTCAAGAGCATTCGAGATCATTCTTCAGAGCTGCTTTGTCCATTTATGATTTGTGTTAAAGAAGTATTTTCTGATTCAGGCTTTCTATTGAATTTACCACTTGAAATATTAATAACTGCCACTTGTGGTATATTTCTGTGTGTGCTTTATGCCTGTGTGTATTGTGTTTTTAGGAAGAAGGCTCAGCTCAAGAAAAAAAGTGGTGTGCCTCAGGTTAATGAACAAATGCTGTTTCATGGGACCAGCAGTGAATTTGTAGAAGCAATTTGCATTCATAACTTTGACTGGAGAATAAATGGTATACATGGTGCTCTCTTTGGAAAAGGTAATTATCAGAACTCCAGGTCCAGTTCAAGTCCTCGGAGCGAATCTCCTCCCTTTAGAGATAATTGTTCTGTAATTCAGGGGTTTGATAGTCATTAAATTAAAAGTTACTGTACTGGGTTTGAGGCACACCCTCTGGTTCTGAGCCACAGAAAAGTACGAGATAGAAGTAAGACCTTTACACCCCCCCCGGGCTCAGTTGCTCTCCTCTCCCAGTCATTTACATGGGCATCATGTCCATGCTCGCTGATTTTTGCATTACATTTAATTTTCATGTATAAGTTCTTTCTGTGGAATAAACTAAAACTATTTTATGTCAGATAGAGAGAGAACTACAAAATAAATTACATTGTGCACAGATCTAGGCGCTAGTATTTTTTGTTTGTTTTGCTTTTTAGAAAAAGATAGGTAAGAATATTAATGAACAATAAGGAATAATGGGGAAAATCCTCACCTTTTTTCTAATGTTGTGAAAGTCCAAATTCTCCAATTTATGCCCATTACTCAAACAAATTAAGGAGAGAGATGAGGGGAAAGGTCAGGGATGGACATTTATTTTGCCGGTTCTTACTTTGTAACTTATCTCCCTCAAGACAACTGACTACCACTTAGGATCAGGATGTGTGTAGTTCTAAACAGTAAATTAATTTTTAAAGTAACTACTGAAAGGCCATTCCATTTATTTAACTGTAAGAGGATCAGAAAAGTGTTACATAAATCCCGTCAGTATTGGGTAATGTGAGACTTTGCGATTGTTTTTCAGCAGTGTTTAGAGTAAGCATTCCCCTGATGCTGCCGATCTCCTAGGCCTGACTCCTCGGCAGGGTCAGCTGCTTCACTGGACTTTCATGTTTAGGCAATGAACCAACCGGTGGACTTGTTCTAGCGGGGTGGGCCGATGTGGACAGCATTGCACTCTCTGGGACACAGAGTTCTATTATTTCCAGAAATATTCTTGAATTGTTACTCTGTATCATGGAAATGTGGTTTCTTGGGCTTTGAAATCATCTCTGTGGATCAGTAGTTTTCATTGTGCTCTCCAGAGCTTCAGTGGATGCTGTAGTGGGGGGAGGGGAGGAAGGAAATAGAAATGGGAGGTAGGTTCAAGCGATTAAAACTCAGGTTCTGCCACACTTTTAATCACAGAAAGAGTTGCCATCTTACATATTACATTTCTTTGTAAGCTTTCTTTTGAAAACAGAAGAAATGTTTTGAAAATGGCAGCTACATTTTGGGGTGGGTAGGATGGTGTTGGTGGTGGGGCCAAACCGGTCTGCACTAACAAACCCATCCCTGTGGCTCTGAGTCACCCAGCTGCCCATACAGATGCCTGTCTGTTCTTTTCTAAAGATCTACATAGGAGGACATTCCACATCTGTTTTTGTTATACAATTCCATGTGTCTGTTCCCTAACAATTAGAATGTTTTTGCTTGTGCTTCATGTATTCTTCAGAGTAATCTTTAATCTTGGCTTTTTCTGTTTCTTTTCTTGTTTTGTTTAAGGAACCTATTTTGCTAGAGATGCTGCTTACTCCAGTCGCTTCTGCAAAGATGACATAAAACATGGAAACACATTCCAAATTCATGGTGTAAGCTTGCAACAGCGGCACTTATGTAGAACATATAAATCTATGTTTCTTGCTCGAGTGCTGATTGGAGATTATATAAACGGAGACTCCAAATACATGCGACCTCCTTCCAAAGACGGTAGCTATGTGAATTTATATGACAGCTGTGTGGACGACACCTGGAACCCAAAGATCTTTGTGGTGTTTGATGCCAACCAGATCTATCCTGAGTACTTAATAGACTTCCACTGATTTGACTTAACAGATCTCAGAGGTCAAGGAAGTGTATTCTTTTTGCAAGAAGATTTGCTCTTCTGTCATCTAGCCACCAATGTTAATAATCTGACACTTTTGAAACATATATATATAAAAAAAAGTGGCCTCCATAAAAAAGGACATACTGACTTTAAGGTTGGTTTTTTGTTGTTTTGTTTCTGCTTGTCATTCGGTCTTGTTTGTTAAAGGTGGACACCATTGCCCTTTTAACACCTCACGTGAAAGAACCACGCAAAGACGAATCAGCTGCGTCTCAGTTAACATGGTCATTTAGAGTTTCTAAAGTGTGTGTGTGTTATCAGATGAATGTATTCCGTTCAGATGGACTTATTCATATATATGTTCAGAAAATGAAAATACAGACATAAACTTGTTCCTTCAGAGGAACTGATCCTTTGTAAATTGAATTCTGATACTACTGTCCACCAAACAACATGTTACTTTGTTGATCTTCTGAAGGGGGGATTTGAAACCTTGAAGCAGTCTGAGTACCTTAGGCCAAATCAGAAATAAGAAAGTTACTTTCAGTGTTGCCAAATAAGCCTGGAGGAGAAAATCAAGGTAGAAGTGCCCAGCCTCTGACTGCCTGGGACCTCAGGCTGCGGTCCCAGACTTGTTCCCGTCGCTCTCCTGTCCCCTGCCTCTGACTTGACCAGATGTAATTAGCCCACTGTTCATCCATCAAGGCTCTGGAATTTTTGTACCAAGACTTGCTGCACAAGGTGTTTATTGAAGCTTTAAAGCGACAGTTTTATTTATTATTCAGAACACTTATTTTCCCTCTGTTTTGAGGTCCCTACAATGATCACTTCTCAGATATTTTTATCTGCTTCCCCACCATCACCACCACCCACAGATATTCAATAGTGATTTATAAAACTCACACTTCTGAGGACTATCTCCCTACTTTGAATCACTGCAGAAAGCACTGGATGCATGGGACAAAGCTGGTTTATTCCTTTGAGTAGCAGCTGACAGCCGGTGGCCGACTCCCTTAAAAAGTTAGACAAAATTCATAATCATGCTTAATGGAAGTTTGTTTACCTTTTCCATCTGTTTTGCTGCCTGATTCTAAGGAGGGTAAGTCATGTCACAACAGCTTCCCGCCCCTAACGTGTTCTGGCAGACGCTGGGCAGCCTGGCAGAGATGGGGATGTGCAGGTATCAGATGGGGATTGGCTATACAATTGCTAAGAGCTTTTCCAACCTTGATTTTCAATTATTCTACCTGGGGGGTGGGGGTGGGGACACTTGTATCAAGCCTTTCCCAGAAAACTTTTTTCCAATTCAGTCTAATATTCATCCATTATCCTCACCCAGTTTTGGCTAAGAGGTAGTCAACATAATTGCACTTCTCAAAAAAAAAAATCCAGAGAATATCCGTGTCTGTGTTGTTCAGTTCAGTCATTTGAATTGGGAAGGCATCTAGGAAAAATAAAAATAAAGAGTACGGAGCAAGATTAGGTCTGGTAATTCTTCGCCTGCCATGTATCCCCACATGTTTATCACAGCCCCGAACACTCGTGATTGTGCGGTCGGAAGTAAGCAGTCCAGGAAATTTCACGTGTAATCCTCTGAAACCAAGGGGCAGCAGAGATTTCCTGGCTCAGACGTGCAGACTGCCAGCCAGTTTGGGTGACGCGCCGCGACTGTTCCGAAAGAACACGTGGGGAAGCGCAGAGTCCTCGTGGAGGCGCTAGAGAGAGCCCCGCTGCCCTGCGAGGGTGGCCCGTTGCTCGGCATGGTCACAGAACTGCGTGGGAGACAGTAGGAATCTGGATTTTGAAAATCTTTCTGTGCTATTTATTTGTTTTCACATACCCAAAATGTTTCAATAGTCTCCAACATGGCTGTCTTTTTTCTGATTTAATGCTATTGCCCGTCCCATCACTGGTCTGGATTAACTGTTGTGGTGTTTGGGGTTATTTTTCTTTTAGACATGTGCAGATCTTATCTCAGGGTGACTAAGAGCCCAGAGCTGAGATTCAGAGGCAATCCGTTTGAACCCTGAATGTAATTAGCTGGCTCCTCTGTAGTGTGTGGAGTGTACTGCAAGAGACATTGTAAGAAAGAACTGTTTGAGAATCTACTGTCAGCTCCCCTTTTATAAGGAAGAGCCAATTTAGATCATTTGTTTAATGTGATAGCATTGAGTTCATTGATACTGAAATTCAGTTTCTTTGTTTTGATCAGTAGATTGAGTTGAGAATCATAACATCAGTATGTCAAACATACAGGACTGGACACATCCGTTTGCCATCTTTTTCTCTTGTCATCACCTAGCATGGGTGGGAGAGTGAAGAGAAGCCACTCTAGGTTAAAGAAGAAATGATTTTAAATATTCGACATTGAAAAAATGGATGGTATCAGCCTCAAGGTACAAAGAAATGTTTGTAAGAAAGTTTCATAAATCTTGCGGTAGAGATCAGGAAGGTTTTGTATTAGGGCAACTTTCACTTCTAGACTTCGGTGAGGATAAGAATTTGGAGCCATTTTCGATATGTGGAAATACTGTGTTTACATGTGTTGATTAAAGCTTTCCATTGCAGGTCTTGGTGGTCTGTGTACGCCATATATTGTTTCTGTGTCTCATCTCCACCTTGTGGCATTTAAACCTCAGTTTCCAGTTCCAATTTAATGGGCTCTTAAGGAGTTTATTGCTTGTAACTCTATGTAACCCACTTGCAGATGGGGAATGTCTCTTGTTCTCAGTTTGCATTACCCTGAACAACAGCTGACCAGATAACCTGTGAGGAAACTTACTTCCTCTGTGCCACTGAAAATTCCAAAGCAGATCAAGTCCTAATGCCTGTGGCCGTCCTTACCTGTCAGTGCACCCCCTTGGCTCGGAGGAGCCCTTCTGGAGGTGGACATGCTTCTTGCTGTCAATCCTGCCTCCAACCGGCCCCTCCCTTTATGGCCACAGTAATTCCTTCTGAAGTGAGTCGGGCATTTCATTTCTTCTTTAACGTCTATTGGCAAAAAGGAAGATATCAACAGATATCTTAATTTTAGAGCTGAGAGAAATGAGAGACAGAATGACCAAGGCTTACCTGTGGAAACAAATCAAGTTTTACTTGTACTGAAATCATATCCCACTCTGTGTATATGTTGGACTATTCTTAAGGTTCATTGTGACGAAAATTCAACTGAGCTTTGATTGATGATGTAGAAATGTGGCATTTTTACAAGTGTTGTTGCTAGGCCGTCAGGTGCTTGAGGTCACCTCCCAGGTCGCAGGGATGACACTGGAGATAGTCTCACAGTGGTCCCCACTGTGCTTTAGTCCCAGGTCGTCTTCTCTTCATGGGGAAGGATGTTTATTTTTCAGTAAACATTTTATTGTGTTTGAAACGGAGACAGTCCATTTCTAGATGAGAAGTTATAGGGGTCATTCTTGTAAAAGAGAAAATTAGAAAGGAATCAAAATGAGCAGGGAAAGCAAAAACAAATGCCTTGTCAAAAACTATGTTGGTTAGAAACTTTAGCAAAGTGATTTTACTAATTTTTAGCCCTTTGTACTGATCTGCAGGAAGAGGTTTGCTGCCTCACTTCCTCTGAATGATTTTATGATGTTGCTTGGGGCAACAGTGATGGAAGAAATGAACATTTCAAAGAAATAAGAAGTACACGATTATTTGGGGACTTCCTGGTTGGTGTGAGTAAGGAGAGGTGAGCCCTAAATATTCAGCAAAGACATTCGGAGTTCATCCATTACCTTCACTTTGTCTCAGATGCAGTTTACTGCTCAGGTTTTCAAAGACTCCAGGCTGGAAGGTGCTCTGGTAGTTCATGCGGCCTTTCTTTGCCCCGCCCTTTCCTGTACTCAACTGTACTTCATCATCCCAGGTAAACAAGATGTCTTGTTTGTCCTGGCTGCTGTGGCTCACTTGGTTGGGCGTCTTCCTGTGCACCAAATGGTTGCCAGTTCGATTCCCAGTCAGGGCACGTGCTGGGGTTGTGGGCTTGAGTCCTGGGAGGGGGCGTGCAGGAGGCAGCTGACTGATGTTCGGTTCTCACCCGGACAGTAACTTCTTTGCTATCATGGATCTAAGTATCGTGCTGTAAGGTGATGTAATCCATTTCCTCAGCTCTAATTGCTTGGCATTCATTCTTCAGCACTGCAGGCTAAGAACTTGGCTTCTGTTTGAACTTTCTCATTGTGTGGCTGTGTATCTAAGAATTTATCATCAGTCTCATTCATTTTTTAGTGGCTTCTCATGAGATTGGAACTTAGGGTTATGCCAAAGACATTTATGTTTTCTGCAACTAAAAAGCCTTACTGTACCCTCTAAGGGAGAGGTTACACAATAAGCTGATTCTGACTCTGGTTCATGCTAACTTCACTTTGATAAGCCCATTTAGGAGAGCCACAATCCAGACTTTAATTCAAATTATTTTTGCAATATTAATTATAAATTCAGATTGTATTTCTTGTGTTTTCCTGTGCCACTTTAGAAAATACCCTTTCCTGAAGGGCTCATTATGGTTTAATGTCTTCTACATAACATGCAGTAGCTGCACGCGTTGTAAGTCCAGGTTTGGTTAACATTCTTGGAGAATCAGTATTGGAACCCATTTCCTCTTTTTTATTCCTTTAAGAAGATCAGGGACCATCTTGGGAGCTGCTGAATCTGAGTTTTATTTCTGGCTCTGCTGTTTGATTCATTGTGACCTTAGATAATTCACCAGGGGAGTAAGGTTCACTTTTCAGAAGGTGAAATTTATGAAGGACTGATCGAACTCTTGTTAAAAGAAAAATACCTGATAGAGTATGGCTCGGTTTCTCTAGGCAGCATCTGGCCTGCCTGAGGACAGGCTTTGAGTTTGGGTCAAGAAATACAGTAGAGCAGGCACCATGATGCATTAGGAAGCGAGAGTTTGGAATAGGAAGGGAAAGAAATTGACCTGGTTCCCCCCAAATCTTTACCACCGTTGGTCCCCCTTCCCCTTCAAGTTCACAGCTCTGAGTTTCTGCCATGTGCCGAGGCTGTGAACAAGGCTGACCTGCCTAGCCCTCATGGAGCTTAAAGCCCAGCAGTGAGGGGCACACCCTGGGCTGTCGGAGAACAGCAGGCTCACCAAAGGGGAAGCGAGCCGATGACTGCCCTAGGGAGTCCTCGAAGGCCT